CATATCTATTTTTTATTATTAAAGAAATAGCACTCTATAATGTTGTGCTGCTCTTTCTGGTCTGCCCCCCTTGGCCATCGAGGGCAGCATGATGCGGATACCGTCAGACGAAGAAGAAAGTGGCTATTTGTATACATTCAGATTGTCACGGTTCTGAGTGACTTAATAGGCTGCAATGCTAGTCTCCCACCCCTACCCCACAGTGGATAAAGAATATATGCCTTTGAGTATTGTGATATTGTCCGTCTACATATATAGCATTACTGTTTGTGGTCCAATTAATATTGTGGATCGTAGTTGACTCTTTTAGGGATTGATAATTATGGGTGAAAATGTTGACATTTGCCTCCTCTCTACCCAGCAGACACAAATGGAATCTCCCATGTCCCGCCTTCTGGGCCACGCCGGCATGGGTGGCTCTATTATGCCCTCACAGGCCGCCAGCTTCATGAACGACGCCATCGAGAAGGCTCGCAAGGTAGCCGAGGAGCAGGCACGCCTGCAGTCCCAGATGACGGTGAAACCCAACATCCTCGGAATGTTGGGCAACTCCATCCCTCACAATTTTGTGGCTCTGGCTAACCTTCATGCCATGGGAATCGCCCCACCGTGAGTCTCGGACAAAGTGGCGCAAAACTTGGTTTGGATGCCTGTTGGCTGGAACTTTTTTTCTTCTTTCTGTGCGGTGCGCCGCTCCAGGAGAGTGGAAGTGAAGGAAGTGAATAAGCCGACGCCGCTCATCCTGGACGACAAGGGCAGGACAGTGGATGCCACCGGCAAAGAGATCGAGCTGACGCATCGCATGCCAACGCTCAAAGGTACGTCCATTTAAATGGATTGGGGGGGGGGGGGGGCTGATGCCGATTCCAGTATTTGTCAGAGAAAGAATTCAGATAGCCATAGATCTAAAATGGATAATGACTAAATCAGTATTGGTAATTGATGACTACCAGAGTAGGGGAAGGATTAAAATAAAAAAAATCCCATCCCGACTGACAGATTTGTGACGTAATAGGGGGACAAGGTATTTGCTGTGCAGTTCTGCTATCTTGAAGCAACTTCAAGGAATTATGGAATATTCAACACGGAATACCCTTTTTGTGAATGTCATCAACATTTAATGATTGGTTAAAAGCAGAAATACTGCAAGCAAGCTCAAGTCTGACTAAATCTGTCCAGTAATTGTGCTTTATTGAGCTGACGTTTCTTTCCCTTCTGGGCGCAGCCAACATTCGAGCGGTGAAGCGGGAGCAGTTCCGTCAGCAACTCAAAGAAAAGCCCGGCGAGGAGCTGGAGTCCACGTCCTACTTTGACAATCGCGTAACGATAGACGCGCCTCAGCGGACGCGCAAAACCTTCAAGTTCCACGAGCAGGGTCGATTTGAGAAGATCGCTCAAAGAATTCGAACAAAGGTCAGAGTTCACGCCACGCGACGCGGACCGTTGCGGAGACCTCGGACGCTCTCTTTTCAAAATGACAGTTTTTTTTGTTCCGGCAGGCCCAGTTGGAGAGGTTACAGAACGAGATTTCGCAGGCTGCCAAGAAGACCGGGATCCACGCGTCCACCAAGTTGGCTCTGATTGCGCCCAGGAAGGACATCGGTGACAGCGAAGTGCCCAACATCGAATGGTGGGACTCCTTCATCTTGCCCACCAACATTGAGATGTGAGAGCCTATGACACACACACACACTCCAACACTAACTGCATTTACTATTCTAACAGAAAGTCAGAATATGTCGGTGCTCTTAAAAATCTGGTTTCCAACTTTTATGCTCTTTGGTTTTTTTTTCTTTTTTTTCTTTTCTTTTTTTTTTTTTTTTTGTACCCCATGAAGAAAGCCAGAAACGAAACTTGATGAGGTGGTGCTTTTCGGGGTGACCAATTTAGTGGAACATCCTGCCCAAATTAGCCCTCCTGGTAAGTGTTTGATGTGACTCTCCTCTTTCTTTATTGACGTAGCGCTACTGTTACAATCCTCCAGGACTAAACCGGTTACAGTGTTTGTGTGTGTGCGTGTGCTTTTTTTGGTGTGCCACCAGTTGACAAGGACAAGCCGGTCACGCTGGGCGTATACTTGACCAAGAAAGAACAGAAAAAGCTCAGGCGACAGACTCGACGGGAAGGCCAAAAAGAAGTACAAGAAAAGGTCCGTCTCGGACTGATGCCTCCACCGGAACCCAAAGGTAGGCCACGCAGGCGCGAGGATCAACAACCTGTCCACGCGGCTAACGTACGCCGTGGTTTTTCGCAGTTCGCATCTCCAACCTGATGAGAGTATTGGGAACTGAAGCAGTTCAGGACCCCACCAAAGTGGAAGCCCACGTCAGAGCGCAGATGGCCAAGAGACAAAAGTCAGTCGTCCTTCACGCCGCTTGAGTTCATCCAATGCTCTCTCCTGTTTGACGTGTACTTTGACCTTTGTGCAGAGCCCACGAAGAGGCCAACGCGGCCCGAAAGCTCACGGCCGAGCAGCGCAAAGAAAAGAAGGTGAAGAAGTTGAAAGAGGATCTCAGCAACGGGGTTCACATTACGGTGTACAGGTTGGTCGCGAGCGCATACGTGTGAATCGGATCTTCCGCAACTCTGCAAAACGGGATTTTCTCTTGCCGCGCAGGATCCGGAACCTGCAAAATCCAGCTAAGAAGTTCAAAGTGGAAGCCAATGCAAATCAGCTCTACTTGACTGGCACTGTCGTTCTCCATAAAGATGTCAACTTGGTTGTGGTGGAGGGAGGTGAGGAAATCAAAAGCCTTCACTACTTAACAAAAGCAAACAACTTTGGTTACCTCAACTTTTTTCCAAATGACTTAGAGCAAAAAAGAAGGGAAAAAAAAACCCCAGCAGCAAGTAGAAGCTGACCAGGCAGTTTGATTAGCAAAAATGAATGTGCACACATTTACCTTCGTGGCCGACCGATTCTTTCCGCACTTAAGCATTACGGTGGACTCAAATGCATGTCGCTTAACTCTTTTCACTTGTGTTTGTCTACAAAACATCCAGACTTTCATTCTCGAGGCGGCATAATGCTGCACGGCTGTGGAGTGTCTTAAGAAGTGAAAAGCACGTGCCAGGTCAGATAGTTGAGGTTTCAAGAGTATTCCTAGATTTATTCTTCGGCTGTTGTCAACACTTTAAATTGGTCATTAATCCGTTTAAAAAAAACATGGCGTGGGGACAGACCAATAATGCAGGGGGGGAAAAAAACAATAATCATATTTCCTCAGTCAGGGTTTCTGCCGATGTGGAGTGGTTGTACCTAATGACGTGGCTTCGGTTCTCCTTCTGACTGAGTGTTTCTTGTTGCAGGCCCCAAATCTCAAAAGAAGTTCAAGAAGCTCATGATGCACAGAATCAAGTGGCAGGAGCACAACTCCAAACGAGATGGTGAGACACGTCGTCATTTTGTTTGTGACGATATCTCCAGCTCACACATCTGACTTGCATGCAGATCCGGATGGCGACGACGACACGAGGAGGAACAACAAGTGCTGGTTGATTTGGGAGGTGAGTGTCTCACGTTGTCTCCTGATGCAACTCAATTTGTATCTTTAGTGCTGCTTTGTGACAGTCCGCCATTGAATCCTCGTCCAGGGCACAGCAAAAGAGCGCTCCTTCGGGGACATAAAGTTCAAGCAGTGCCCCACAGAAAACATGGCCAGGGAACACTTCAAGAAGCACGGCACCGAACACTACTGGGATCTGGCTCTCAGTAAGAGTGTGCTGGACGGCCCCGATGAGTGAGGACCTTAACAGGAAGAACACAAGTGCTTCAGTCCGACTTGTCAAAACAACACTTCCTTCCCTGGGACTTAACATCTGACCGACTGACCGATTGACTTGAATTTGGGACAATAGAAGCTTTTGTGGATATTTCTGCAGGACACATGAAGTGACATGTTGAGTTCTAGAAGACGACGATCAATCAAGCCTTTTGTGGAACATATGGCAGATTACACGTATATATGTGTGACTGAGTGGTGGTATGTATGGCAAATGTTTTTTTTTTTTTTTAGGTTATTCTAAAAGATTACACTGTGATATAAATCACGTAACCACACATTTCTGTTGCGATAGACCACTGGAGTGTATCGAGTCAAGTTGTCAATAAAAGTCTATCCCTTCAGTGAATGGTGAATTTTTTTATTGTCAAGACCAATAATTAAAACTGCACGCTCAAGATTTGATGTACAGCCACACAGCATATAAAAATTCTCATTGAGTCTACAAATGGAAAAAATAATAGGTTTGGGCGGTGGTTCAGTCAATAAAGAGTTTCTGAACAGTCAACCCTAAAGAGCACTACAAAAGACCTGCAGCTGTAACTAAAGCTTGGTCCTTCATGTTTGGAGGACTCTACAAGGTCTTGGAATGCCCCGGTCTATACAGGACAAAAAAAGCCAATTTTCCATAATAGGGACCGTACCCCTAAACCAACAATTTACTGAACTAAAATGAAGAAATGGTGCAAGTGAAAAGTTAAGAGTGTGTGGCCTGTCTGCCGTCGTTCTTCCCATAATAGGGACCGTACCCCTAAACCAACAATTTATTGAACTAAAATAAAGAAATGGTAGAAGTGAAAAGTTAGAGTGTGTGGCCTGTCTGCAGTCGTTCTTTAATGACGAGAACGATTTTCGCGGGAATTATCATCAGCAATATGATTGGCTGATGGACACGAGATGCTTCAATGATTGGCCCGTGCATCATGAGCAGGACACGCCCTGCATCCAGGAGGAAATGGCAGCCTCTGAAGAAGAGACGGGATGACCATTACAAATATGGATCAATATATAACAATAATAATGATAAATGAAATTTATTAGAGTGAGAGCGAGTGGAATTCGTAAAAAGTCCGCCCACTTCTGTTCCCGCCTTGGTACAGGATACAGCAGCCAATTATATTGCAGCTGCGCGGGTCCAACAGCCAATCATATTGTAGCGGAACGCATCCCAGCAACCAATTATATTGTCGCAATGTGCATCCAGCCAGGGCCACCTCTTCTTTTGGCCAAGCAAGCGAGACCTGCAAAGATGGCCGCCGGTTCCGGAGCTGCGAGCGGCCACGGAGCCCGCAGCTCCAACGCCGCGTTGGAAGCCTCTCTAGATCGCCGCTTTCAAGGAATATCTAACACAATGGAGTCCATCCAGAGCATCTCCGGTTGGTGCATCGAGAACAAGAAGCAGAGCGGCCTCGTCGTGCGCTACTGGATGAAGTGGCTGAAGAAATGTGAGTAGCCCGAGCGGGCTCTAGCTAAAGCTAAAAGCTAAACAATGCTAAGGCTAATTCGAGTACGTTTGTGTCCCGAGACGACACAAATTGGCGAAGAAATGAATTCGTGTGGAACTCGAAAACCGCGTTGAACTCGCCCAGTGAAGATTGAATGGATTTCTCAATGTAAAAACACTAGCGCCGCTAATTGTGATCAAGCTAAAGCTACAGTCTGCTTCCAGTTGGCTGCAAGCTTGCTTACAAGCGGGCCTCCAGGTCCAAACGTTTATTTTCTTGTCACGGATTGGCCCCTGCTTCGCTAAACACTCCCCACCGATGTTCGAGTACCTGCTAGTTACGTCTTGAGTGACATTTAATGCAAGTCTTCTTAAGTGAAGTTATTACGAGTGTTTGGTCTTCCATATTTCGATTGCCAGTCGTGAATTAAGCATGCTGTTCTTTGTTGTTGCACCTGTTTTTATTTGCTCCTTTTCACCGATTGGGCTACACGTAATTTGTTGGATGAGATTAGGGATCTCCAATTAAATTTCGGAGGGGTCCGGTTGCACGAGACTTGTCAGAGCACAGTACGAGGTCTCCCAATGTTGCGGTTTTCGTAGCCACCCGGTCTAAACAATATCAAACACATTTTCTTCTTGCACCATTAATTTGTGGTTTTGCAAATATTTTCTGCAAAAAACCCCAAAAAAACTTTCCTCCATACTAAAATGACAACAAATACTTTTACATTTGTGGTTTTGCAAATATTTTCTGCAAAAAACCCCAAAAAAACTTTCCTCCATACTAAAATGACAACAAATACTTTTACATGAATACCAGTTGACTAGTCAGAAACAGTTTTTGTAACTGTTTGACTTATCGGCTCATATGGAAATTGCGGCATAGCACACCAGCAAGCAGCTGCTCGTATGACGATCATTAGCTTACAAATTGATTTAAGATATGCACAAATTGATAATAATGTCAAGAGTTAAGAACTAAGGATGCTCCAATCGATCGGTAATTGCCGGCCGCTCTTACTGCAAATGTGTGTGATCAGTGAATCCGATCAAAGCCTCTAAACCAGTGGTTCTCAACCGTGGTTCGATTGAACCCTCAGGGTTTGGTGAATCGGTCTCATGGGTTTGAGGAGCCTCTGCCTTGGAGGTTAAGACACACCCGACTTAACATGTTAATTAGTTATGACACACCCGCTGCAGATGATCACATTACATCGCTTGTCCAATCAGTGCTGCAGGAAATTTTTCGCTCAGTCGTCTACATGTGACTGTCATGATAGTACATTGTGTGATTTTTTTTTTTTTTTTTTAAAGAAGGTTTTTTTTTTTTTAATACATGCTAACTATGTCGAGCAAAAAAAGAAAGTGGTCGGATGATTATATCCAACGTGGATTCACATGCATCACGCAACGTGATGGGACCCAGTGTCCTATCTGTTGAGCAACTCTAGTCTTACACCGGCAAAGCTGAAGGAATACTCCTTGAATCCTGTTTTTGTGTTTCACTAATGAAGGGTTCGGTGAATGTGCATACGAACTGGTTGGGTTTCGGTACCTCCAACAAGGTTAAGAACCACTGCTCCAAAGTGTTTATCATGATTCCGCGAAGGGAGCGACATATTTCTCCATATTTGTTTCTTTACCTTTAAAAATTGCTTGAATGTACCTTGATAAAGTAAGGATAGTCATTTTTATATAAACGGTACATGACTTCTCTCGGAGCTTTGGTCAAGCCCCTGCAAGGAAAACGGCTGACTCAGCCGTTTATAAATAATGGTGAGCTTTGCCATCTCACCAAGGTTGATAGAGGTGAGCAATGTCCAATTGAGCTCATGCAGCATGTCTTTGGCAGGCCTGAAATCTGGTTGTTGGTGGGGTTTAACAGATGAGCATGGTAGACCATCGCTGAATTGCTTAAGAATCGCCAAAGTTGTGTGGAATTGATTTGATCATGTCTTGAAGCGATGGAGGCAAAACGATTCACAGCAGAAGCACGTTGGATTCAGTCTTGGCAAAATGTTTCCTGAGTTTGGGCATGTGACCTTCGCAAGCTGAGCCCCGAGCAACTGTGATGTCATTTTCAGTGAGCGGCAAAATGCCCCCCCCCATCAGATGGATAAAAACGGCATTCTGATGTAAATTAGAATCTGTGTTTCAACTAGTGGGGTCACATAGAACATGTTAATTTTTTGTTTTTTTTTTTAGCTGATTTCCTGTTTAAGTACAAAAAAAAGAAACCTTTATTTAAATAAAAATAAAAACCAATCAGTCCTTCATTAAGTGTACTGTAACGGTTTTTGTCTTGTGTTTATTAATGGTCTTTGACCAAGCAAAAGAAGATGTATTTCATTTTCATCCAACTACCTAATTATTTAGTCAATTTTTTTTCAGTAGGACATCCGAATACTAAATATTTGATAGCTGTAGCCCAAGTATCAGAGGCACCTTAGGGCCTGAGTGAGACAGGACTTGTCTTGAGTTTTTTTTTTTTTGGCTGGTTCACATTTTGTTACCTTTGGGCATGTTTGAGTTGTCTCTCTGTTTTGCAGGTGCTCAACTGTCAATGTGGTAATTCTGTGCTGTCGACATTTGAAGACTTAAAAGTTTTGCCTGTCATGTTCTGATCGTATGGTTTGCTTTTCTACACGTGCATGCTTGATGGAACGCGCGAAGCACAGTGACCCGCACTTTGCACAGTCACAGCAGCAACGCTGAGCTGGATGCTAAGTTATATGATTGCAACTTTTGACATAATTGCCGATGATCTGGTTGTAGCAGTTTGATTACTGCGGCCCTACTATTTATTTATTTTCAACAAAGGCCAATGCTGATCACCAATTAATCGTCCAATTAATTTGAATTCTTCTGGTCCCTCAACACTTACAAGTATTAGGGATCTCCCGATCAGATTACTTTTGCATCAGAGTTCGAGTTACCTGATTTTGACGATCTGCTGATAGAAAGCCCCGATCCAATGTATTAAACGGGGGGGGGGTACATGTAAATTGTCCTGAAGCTGTTTTTTTTTTTTTGGTTTGAAATAAGCGTAAACTATGACAACATGGTGCCATTGACATGGCTAGTGGAGCAGTAGTTTTTAAACTAAGTAAAAACACTGCGAAACTCGAATCGTTTGATAAACGGGTGTTCGTAAGTTGGGGTTTCGCGGTGGTGTTTTTTTCCTTTTTTTTTTTTTTTTTTTAAACAGTACATAACCATATTTATCATTTCATATGCGCGAAATGGCAAAAGCTTATGTCCAAAATATACAGGAGCAAGCTTTCCGGGTACATTCAAATGATGAATTACATCCCAAAATATTGCCGTTATTCTCATTCACATCCTCTTCCAACTTTTTTTTTTTTTTGGCGATGTTTTGATCCAAGCTGGGTTTGAACTCGTGTCTTGAAAAGCAACTGGGCTGTCTTCTGAGTGCCACGGGCTTTCAAACATCCTGCGGGTCACTCGGGGGTTACTAAAGACGACGCTATGAGCGCTGCCCCCTGGTGGTCCGGTAGGGACTCTTAGAACTGAACTTTTAATTTATCGCCTCTGTCAGCTAAATTGCTCCTTGTGTGGCTTCTGTGCGGGGCTCTGGCGTGCAAACCATTTGACGCTCATACGCACTCGTTGGATATGAAATGAGAAGTGATCGCCATGGAGGGGTCAGTGGCTTTTGTAAGTCCAGTCATCACGCGACAGAGCTTTGGGACAGATACTTGTGATGCGTTGGAATTGTGTCACGCCATTGGAGCATCTCCGGCTTCAACCTTCTCCATGGCACTCTGCGGCAGCTTCTCGGCGGCAGGCAAATGAGTTGTCGAGTTGCATCTCGTATGAGGAAATGGCGTTTTGATTTTTGGTTACACGGCGACCGCGTGGTCTCGATAGAAACGGTTGCGTCGGTTTGTCGCGTGATTGGACTTTTTTTTTTTTCTTTTTTAATACTGCCGCAGCTTCCAAAAGATCTTGCGATTGTCAATTTCCAGGGGAATTTGGGCCCAATGGTCAGATTTTAGAGAAGACATTGACAGTACTCTGCTTTGGCTGCTGTTTGCTTCTGTGGTTGTTGTTGTTGTTTGGTTGAATGTGCTTTCGGCCATACAGCGGGAATCCCATGCAAAGTACCCCTCGCTGGCCAGGTTGGGGAAATGATTCAGGTGAATTTGCAGAATCGATATTGAATTGCACTGTATTGATGAATCGACATTTATACCCACCGAGGGCTGAAGGATTATTTACATTAGTCACATCATCATGATTTCATAAAATGTGTTTTTGTAGTAGTTGCATATGCTGTGATTTGACTGGTTATGACCGTCATGGGGAGGGGGGTGACCGGAAAGGGCCACCGGGGTTCTGAGAAGGCAACATGAATGCTGCCGCGTGAGCATTGAGTGAGCGTTCCTTCTTACCAGACATTGAGATGAGTTGCGTGTTTTTTTTTTTTTTTTTTTTTTTTTCATCTTGCGAGGTTAAAAGAACTTTTTTTGGTGTGCATTGTTGTTTGGGCTGCCATTGAATGTTGTTGCGCGCGTGTGCCTATGAGAGTGTGTGAGCCACCACGACCGTGTGACACACGTGTAAAATAAAAGCATTGGTCCTTTTCAATGACTCCGAAAAATATTTTGTCAGTTTTGGGGGGGTTGCAGATGGAACTTTTTTTTTAAAAGTTGACTCTCCTTGTACAGTCTTTTTCAACCCCTTTTGGTGGCCCCAGGCCCCCCCCCCCCCCCCAAAAAAAAAAACAAGTGGTTGCATCCTCTGGTCAAATAATTTGAAAATGGAAATTTGCTAAAGAAAAAAAAAGCATTTGCAAAGTTGTCCAGCGGTCAGTCATTAAGAGGATACGTTTGGCTGCATGCTTCATGAATTAAATATACGGGAGACAAATGAAAAGATATTGCTCAATGAGACGCCAGCGAGTTGTGCTTCTCCATTCGGGCGCTCATCCGTTATTGAAATGTTATGTACGTCACAAACGGGGTACTGTCTTACTTTCCCGCATGTCAGCATGTGTGATGCTCACGCGTTTATCTGTCTAGATCGCAATTTAAGTGACGGAGTGCCGTACCACGTTTCATGAAACTCAATGATATGTAGGAAGTGGTAAAGCTGGAAGTAATGCTGATTTGTTTGCATTGTTGTCGTCATCTGAATTTTTGTGCCTTACTGCTGTGCTGTGCTGTGCATACGCTGTAATGACATGTTGTCAGGTGGGTTCAGGTTCTGCAAGTGGATACCAAACTTGTAGCCCTTAGCATTAATCGCTACCCAAGAAGTCTCTATCGGTTTTAAAAAGGTTAGTGAGTCAGTCCCTTCCGAGAGAATTTGGGTCACACCAATCGCCGTGTCATTTTCATACCATTTCATGTGTAATTCTTGTTTCAAGGCGCAATTAGTCAGCAATCTGATTAAAGATTAAGTGTTGAATGTTAAAATAAAATTTGTGGAATTCAACTTTCCCCCCTCCGGGTCCTTACCTTCATTAGTTAAAATAAAGAAATTCTACATATGTTCATATCGACCAATATTACATACTTTTTATTATTAATTTAATTATTACACAATCACAGGCAACAATCTGTGAATAAAAAGTAACGGGGTGGGGGGCAACACCATTTTACAAGAAATGTTATCGCAGAATAAATTCTATCGTGTGATTCGATTGCTCGATTGTAAAAATATTTGATAGTGACAACCAAGAGTGGTGGACAGAATCATTTGAGTTCTGTATTTTCTGCACTATGAGGCGCACCTAAAAGCATTCCATTTTCTTATAATCCGCTGCGCATTCTGTATGGATCAATATTCTGTTTTTTTGGACGTGGTATTTTAATTGTTCCGTAAAGCGCTTTGTTACAGCTGCAGCCGTTGTGATAGCGCAATATAAATAAAGCTGTATTGTATTGTATTCCCTTCAGGGTAGTTCCATCTACTGAATGCATAACGCAACCGCAGCCACGATTGTGACTTTTATTCTGTGCGCATTGTCATGCGGTGCGACCTATATATGAAAACAGTTTTAAAATAGGCCTCCATCAAAGGTGCGCGTTATACTCCGAAGCGCCTTATGGTGCGGGGAAAAAAACGGTATTTCTACCCGAAAGTCCTCTGTTTATTTGTGGGGACTCCTTTTTATATTTGTCACTATATTTGCCAGTCTGTTTGTGTTTCCTCTTTCAGCTGACAACAATCATCGGTTGAATCTCTTCTACCTTGCCAATGATGTCATTCAGAACTGCAAAAGAAAGAACGCGATTGTGTTCCGTTCCGCCTTTGCTGACGTTCTCCCCAACGCCGCCCTTCTTATCAAGTGAGCGACAATCTTCTCGTCCACGCGTTCCTCCGAATCTCGCTCCGAATGAACGACATTGAAACTGCGCGTGCGCGGCTGCGTGTCATGTCGTCAGGGACGCAAAGGTGCGCAAGTCTGTGGAAAGGATCTTGTCAATCTGGGAGGAGCGCAGCGTGTACCCTGAGGAGCTCCTCACCCAGTTGAAAGCCAATTTGAACAAGAAGGAAAAAGATCGAGAGAAGCAGAAGGAAAAAGAAAAGGTGAAGGAAAAGGAAAAAGGAAGAGAAACGCCACCCGTGACTGGTAAGTGTGTCGTACTTTTTTTTGGGGGGGGGGGATTTGGTTGGGCCCGTCATGCAATTCCTAAAAGTGCAACGTTGACCTTGGCCATGCAACTGTGGCCTTATGCGACACCTTTGCTCGGATTTCTTCATGGCCTCTTTCGGGATTCACTGAAATGAAAGTGTTTTGCACTATTACTCCACATAGTTTTTAAGTCTCCCAACTGGGTTGGCAGTGTTAAACATTAAGGCAGGGGTGTCAAACGTATTTTTGTCGCAGGCCACTTTGGAGTTGCGTGTTCCCTCGGAGGGCCGTTCCGACAGTGAAACTAAATAAATGCTGAATCATCAAATCGTATAAATACTGTGTTGAAGTCCGATTTGTGAACATTTCACGTGAGTGCTCTTCCAGCTTTGAGAGTGAAAGCTGACTCCTCATCGCTCCTGCTGTCATTTTGGTTCTGAATGTGTGATACTGGACATTAGACCACCCCAAAATTCTGAAAAATCCTAAACTATTTAGCAGAAAATATTAATGTTGTACTTTTTGGATTAAAAAAAAAACTATACAGTACTGTATAATATCTGGACATTTTTTGTAATTTTTTGATGGCGGATAAGCGGTTAAAGAAAATGGATGGTTGGATGAATGGATTAGTTTTATTGTGTCTAACATGTTACAGGTGAAGAATTTCAAAGTGGCCCTTGCATCCTTTTGATTTTTCTGTATGCGGACCTCGCGGGGGAAAAAGTTTGGACACCTCTGCATTCGAGAGTCCACCGTAACATTTTAGCTTCAGCACAAGGCATATTTGTAATGCGTGTTTCTCAATGCTTTGCTCCAGCCAAGACCAAAGCTGCAATCAAGTCCAAGATCGTTGAAGAGTTTGCCGTAAGTCTCGCACAGACGTTCATGCATTCGTTGCCTGTGCTCTGTGGTAGCCAAATATTGTGGTTCTCGGTCTCTGTCTTTTAGCCCAGCTCGCTTATAGAGCAGCTGTCAGGATACAAGCAGGCGGTTGCAGAAGAGGAGTTTCGGGAGAAGCAGCTCACGGCTCTCCGGTTGGACATTTGCAGCACGGAAGCGCTCAAGAGGCTGAAAGGTTCGAATTGATCCGACCGCATTCGCTTGAGTCTAGAATTTTGTCTCTGAATTGTGTGGGGCGCCGCTTTGTGTTGGAACCTTAAATGGTTTTCAGACAAGGCGGGAGGGAACAAGTTCGCCAAGGACTTTGAGGACGGCTGTCAGAAGCTGCAGGAGTTTGTTGGCTTCCTGGAGGAGGAGTTGAAGACGGGGCCCCCCCTGCTGGAGGCTTTGGAGAACGCAGACATCTTCTACGAGACGCAGTACAAGGAGGTCAAGATTGTGGCTAATGTGAGTGTGAATTCTCGTGGTCGTGTTGCGGAGGGCCGCAACATGTGGCGCCAAGGTTCTCTTGAAATGGTTTGTTTGTTTTTGTTATTCTTAGGCCAAATAAATCAATCAAAATGTACTGATGCTCCCATCAATAGTGCCTCTACGGAATTCCTTTGAGAATCCAATCCCTCAAAATCGGCCGGCAACATGAAGTCTGCCGATATGATTTGAAGCTGCCATTTTGGGGTCGTTTTGGCAATCTTCAGGTGTCCTTCAAAACCAGACTGCTTTCAAATTTGTATCCTAGCTATAATAATGTCATATCTTGTGTTCACACTGTATGAAAGTATTACTTCATGATCATAACCACCGTTTAAAAATGGCTTTTAAATTATCAATTGATAGGTTTGTAAACAATGCTGAGTTCACAAGGTGCTCAGTATAACATTCCAAGTACCAAAAAATGTCACAATGTAAGTGAAGACACCATTGATGCAGTATTTTAGATATGCGTGCTTAAAACGCAACTTGAGTCCAAAATTGCGCGCAGTCAAAGTTTCAGGTTAAGTGTGTTCATGCAGGTTTTGTCAATAAATGCCCCCCCTGTGACGTGTGGTAACAAGTTGTCTCCTTTTTTATATATACACTAACAATGTTTCAATTGATTTTTTTCTCTTTTTATTTGGGACATTGCATGACAACCACAGCATTCTCTTCTGTCCACATGCGCAGGCATACAGTGCTTTTGCAAACCGTGTAGCCAGTCTGAAGAGGAAACTGGATTCCCTCAAGTCGACCCTACCCGGGCCCGAAGACTCGCCCATCCCCTCCCCGTCCGAAGATGCTCCCTCCCCTACCGGCTCAGACTCCCCCCTCCTGGGTACGGGTGCCGCCAGAGCGCAGGTGGACCCGGAGCTGGACGGCAAGGCCATGGATGAAGGGGACCTGCCGAGCGACAGCAGGGAGGACATGGACGTGTCTGACGAAGAGGAGCGCTCTTCTTTAACACTTGGTCAGCCTGCGAGCTTCATCCTCATCCTCTGACTTGACTGTACAGTAACGCGTCCCTGAAAACACATTTCTCCATTTCTGTGCATGAGCAGGTGGCAAGACGGGCGAGATCTCCCCTACTGACGTCAAGTTGGATGCAGATTCCAAAACTCCGACCACACCTACCAAAGCTTCAAAGGCTAACACTGCTTCCACGGTAACCCCGGCCACACCCACTTCTGCCTCTCAAACGCCATCCACTCCTCTGGGAGTCAACATGGCCAAGGTGGACCTTGGAAAGATCAGCTCCATCCTCAGTTCACTCACGGGAGCCATGAAGAACACAGGTGTGTGTGTGTGTGTGTGCGTGCGTGCGTGCATGCGTGCGTGTGTGTATATCGTCTTAGTTTCTCATGAAACAGTAAATACAGTGCTGCTGTCACGCAGAATGATGTCTTTGCGTTGATATTCCATACCATAGATCTCTGACTCCTTTCATTCGATCATGCGTTTTCCCTGAGAGGTGGACGTCCCGGTTCTCGCGTGGCCTTGTTGGGGACATGGCCAACATTGACGGAACCGATGGTTGATTGGCAAATTTGTTTGACGCTGCAGAAGCTTCAATGCGTGAAATTGGTTTTGCCGCGAAAGTCTTCTGCTCCTCAACTGCCCACGTCAGGACTGAATCGGCTTTAAAAAAATACAATAAGTTCAATACTTATGTGCGCTCTCCAGAGTGCCACTTTCGGAGATAGAACTTCACTTCACAACAATGAGAGTCGTAGGATTAGTTGTCGACGCACGGGTATGAATGAATATCGTAAATTTACTTTTGTACAAATGGCATTGGGGTTGGCATGTCTCCCTCACAGTTTTGACATCCTTGTTTGAATCTCACTGCCGTTTGTTTGGACTTGGCATGTTCTCCCATTGCTTGTGTCACTTTTTGTTGGGTACTTCAGCTTCCGCCCACAAACTTGTCCTTAGGTATGATTGAGAGCATGAATGATTGCTTGTGTAATTGGCTGGCAGTGGGCAAGCGCCAACGCAACTGGATGCCTAAATGATCCTTTTGATGATTAATGAATGCATTTCCAGGAAGATTGGCATTTAATTGACTTTCTTTCATTCTCTTATCTGCCACAAGCAGGGAGCCCCTCAGCCCGGCCATCTCCAGGAACAGCCAGCACCCCTTCGACCCAGTCCGCGGCCTCCAAAGCCACTCCGACAAGCCCCGCTCTTGCTAGTATTTTGTCACGTGTTGACATCACACCCGAAGGCATACTGAGCGCCCTGTCCAAAAAAAAAACACCAGGTATCCAAAAATATTGGACCCTCTGTGAAAAGCAAGAAATTACCTTATTTTTTATTTCTTCCCTTTTTAAATTTTTTTTTTAATCTATCCTCAACTTCTTATAGCATTGTCGTCTCTCCTGCACACTGTGACCAACTCTGCTCAGCCCACTCGAGCTTCCCCAGAAATAGCAGCCGCATCGTCATCAGCAGCAGCGAAGCCTCTGAAACCTAAATCCACCGTGGGAAACAGTCTCAAGCGAGACACGCCAAGCAGGAACAGAGTCTGGGAGAAGGACCGTCATCTGTCCCCGCCTCCCCCACCCCATCCTCCCCGCCTTGCCGCCGCAGTCTCTCCTCCCAGCCTCGAATCCAAAATCAACAGTTTCTTGCAGGGTAATCCCGGTTTCACACTGGCTTTAGGTGACACCAGTCCCGAACGCGTGGACGGAACGCCGGTGCGTGACGAGGCTGCCGGTACCCCAACCCAAGACGAGATCATGGATGCGCCCGGGAGCGTGGCCGAGTCTTTAGGGTCTTCTGGCAGCAACAACCTTTCACCCACGGCGTATCGCAGTGAACCCTGGGACGCTGTGATCACGCCGTCGGGAAGTAACAATGACGGCGACTTCGCCTCCCAGCGGTACGGAGGTGCGAAAAGGAGCGACGAAACTAAGAGGAAGCAGATGGCCTCCGCACCCAGTAAGGAGCTCACTAAGGCGAAGAAAGATGCACAACACAGCCAGGCTGCGATGGCAGGAGGCAACGCCAGGGCGAAGGGAGATCGGCGGCTCTCAGCCGCCTCTCGAAAAGCAAGCACGGGCTCCGAAGAAGGAGGTGCGATCGGGAAAAGAGAGGACAAGCTCAAAGGTGGACAGTCGCCAGGTAGGGACGCCAAGGACAGCAGCGGGGGCTACCATCGCATCGAGACCCTCGTTTCCCCCTGTACTGAGGGTGCACCCATTGAGACGGTGGGCTATTCTAACCAGCCCACCGCAGGGGAGAGAATCAAGACGGTGGAGAGCATCCGCGTGATTGGACGAGACTCTCGGCGAGGGGGAGGGGCCGGCGCTCGCTCCGGCGCGTCAATGTGGTACGAAGAGGAAGAGTACATGGAAGCCCATTCTGCCTCGCCCCATGCCATCTCCCTCCCTCTTAGCGTCGGCCAGGGAGGAAGCGGCGACATGCCCCCCGCCATGCCGCCCCCGCCCCATCTCCTCACTCACCCCCCTCCTCCTCCTCCCATCCCCCACCCTCTCCCTCCTCCGCCCCCACCGCAAATTCCCTTCCAAATGCTTTACCATGGTGATAGTCTGCAGACTCCTCCCCCTTCCCACCTCCTACACCCGCCTCTTCCCTCACCCCATTTCTTTGGCACGCCCCCCACTATACCTCGACCTCCCCCGCCTCCCATGTCTCCCTCAGGGGTCATGGTCGGTGGAATTTGCGTACCTGTCGACCGGATGCAAGCCGGTCTGCCCCCGGGCAGACATGACGGTGTGGAGCGAGGAGGCCTGAGGGGCAGCAGGTCCTCACCCCGTCCACTCCTGTCATTGTTGGGCGAGCCTCCCAAACTGCCTCGTCCCGGCACGGTGAAAGAGCCTTTTGCCGCCCACCATACACCCCCGATCCACCGCCCGGGCGCACCTGGTGCCCCTCCACCTCTCCTTGGCCGGGTGAAGGAGGCCCCAAATCTGCAGCCTCCGCCCACGTCTCCTTCGACACCAACGTCCCCCGCGGTCGAAGGCGCGCCCGCACGAGCTCTGGCTCAATCCGCCGCACCTCCTGGGCAAAACCCCCCAGCTAGTCCAAGTGGGCAGCCCCGCAACCACCCTCCCAGTCCGGTGCCCCTCCTGGCGCTGCCTACTCAAAGGCCCCCCATGCTGTCGGTCCCCAACCCGCACAGACCTCCGCAGCGAGGCCAGCACGCGCGACACTTTAACGAGCCAGGCGGCGGGAGGTTCCGCGGCAGCAAGCGTCCTGGCCCTCCCTTCACAGGCGGCCCCTTCCACGGCCAGAAGAGACCCTTCCAACCGCCGCGCTACTGAAGTGGTCCAGTTTTGTGACGTGCTGAGATGAGAGAGGGAGCGCAAGCCACAACGCTAGCCTAAACCCACCGCAGTGTGTGTTTGCCTTGCTGGTATGAGCCGAGGTTTATTTCCCTACTTTGAATCGTAACACTTGTGTGTAAATAGTCAATTAAATCTTCAAGGAATGGTTAGTGAACCGTGTTGTATAAGCTTATCTGCAGACTCACTTTGGCATCCTCAACGCACATGAGGAGCGTCGAGCTCAAACTAGCATAGATGCTACACATCATTTTTAACTCCTTACACTTGTCATACATTTCATGAAAGGTCTCTCTTACTTCACAGGAGGGGGGGGGGTGTTATATTCCAAATCATAAAACACGACTTGTTCCAAAGTTGCTTTTCCTCTCTGAACGCTTGAATGTGTGCACTGTCCTCCAACGGTGTTTTGAAGTGAGTTCCTAGAATTTCCTGATGTGAATAACCCTTGTCTTCTCACATTACAAATTTTCACTTCCAGACTGTCCCTCCCGACTTTGTAATTCTAAGCTTGTAAATATAAACGAGTGACTGACTGCTTTTTTTCCCCGCTCCCCCCTCTTCCAACTCTTGTAAATGATGCTCACTGCTGCAGCCGGTCGTTAGTGTGACCGAGGCCTTGGAAACGCTCATTTAGCTCCAAATGTCTGTTTTATTTGTTCATTTTTGTTTCTTTTTAATCCAGCACATGGAAACAGAGGAAATAATTCTGTATTTTAATTAGGGATGGGCATACTAGTCAACGAGTCATCTTTCTGCTTGAACACCGATGTGTTGGGAAATTGAGCTACATTGATGCAATCACCCCAAAATAACTCCCTTTATAAGCTATCAGATTTTTTTTAATCTTCTGTTTAATACCCCCCCCCCACACACACACACACACACACATACACACAACTGAGTATATGTACTCAAATGCTCATCCCTAATTATAATTTCCAACGTACTGTGGTGCCTTGAGATACGAGTGACCCGACTTGCAAGGTTTTCAAGAAACTGGTCGCCTTTCGGACAAACGGCATTTTTGTAACGATTGAACAATTCATCAGAAATGAGGCTTCAAGATGCCTCGTGCCACTCCCAGTTGGATTTTACTGTCAAACTCGGCATAAAACATAGACGATACCTGTACATAACTGCTTGATGAATCTGCCTAGCTTTGCGCTAACGTGAAAAACACTATTTACATGGTTGCAATTTTAGGAACCTCAAAGCAATGCGTATTTAACAAATGGAGTAAAACATTTAGACGGATCCTGTCATGTTCGTTGAAAAATGATGATGGCATTTTGCTGTGTACCTCAAAGGTACATTTTTCACATCTGTATTGTACTGTAGTGCCTCCGGTGGCCAAGGTGGGCACTGCAGAAGCAGCAGCCAAATTGGATTGTTGAGTGCAAAATGATGCACAAACTGAATTCATTACTGTAGTTATTACTATTATGTGTTTTTACAAATCACAATATTAAAGACTGCTATTTTTCCTTGCTAAAGACAAAAATGTGTTTTGGGGGGGAGGCTGGAACGGATGAATGACATTTCCACTCATTTGGATTGGATTGGATACAACTTTGTCAAATGTGCTGTATGTGTAACATATCCAGCACAGATGAAATTTCTTCCCTCTCAAGACAGTGGAGAAATGTGATATTTAGACGCAAGTGTTTTGAGCATTGAGTGCTCACGGAACAAATTCAGATGGCGTCTCAAGGCACCACTGTACCTGTTTGCCAGAGCGCGCGTCAAGTTAGCATCGTGGCTGGAAAGCGGTTAATGGGGTGTCTGCCAGAATTTTGGGGAGCTCCTGCATGTCCTGACTTGAATAAAATCCAGACTTTCAATGAAAGAGGGGCGGGAGGGATTTGAGTCGCTCTTGAATAAATAGCGCTTTATAGTTAATGTTCGCTTCTTTTTCTTGTGTAGCTGCCATTTATGGCCTGTATACTGTAGCTATCGTGGACAAAATTCAGGCTGGCTGGAAACTGCTGTAAATATGGTGAAACACATTTGCACTGACATCTGACCTGCTGTTCATTTGAATACTTATTTCATCGTAATTATCGCCCTCGTCACAGTCTTAAATGTCTTCTGCTACAGAAAGCTTGTGCACTCGATGACTTGTTCAGCAAAAAAGAAAAAAGGCAGCGGTCCTTTCTCCCTTTGCAGGATTCGAGGCTCCCTCGCACCTCCCTGTCGTCCACATCAAACATACTTAAACATTGGGCCAGGTGCGAAATGGGTGTCACAGCTGTCAAAGCCTCGCCATACCTTCATCCAACTCAGTGTTCATGCACACAATTTGTATAGGTGCAACAATAGTCGATAGCTTTCTACGTTGTAAAATGGAGTGTAAACTGCTGATTATATTTCCTCAAATAATGGTCGCCAGGCAGTGTCCATCCACTTTGGATATATAATTGCCTTCCTCAAATAGATAGCGTGCCCATTTGAATGTTGTTGCTAACCAAAACAGCAGAACCGCCATATGTAAACACCATAGGTCTTGAAAATTGAGTTGTGTAAACAATTTGATGATAGATTTCCTCTTGTTCCAGGTAGATCGATCCACAATGATGTGCGTCAATTTTCAAGGAAGATACAGTCTGTGGGCTACACCTAGACTGCCTCAGTCACTGCACTTTATCTACATTTCTCCAAAATTTCCCCCCTCCTTTTCTTACAATAATAGACAATAATATATTGAGAATGCTAAATATACATTTAAAGGCCTCCCTCCCGCCACCTTCAGTTGAACAAACGTCTCCAGCCAGTATCTGTGGGAAAGTGGTATAATGTGCTCAAGTTCACCTGCAAGCGAATGTCGTACACAATGTTGAAAATGTTTTCTTTCCTGTTCCTGCAATTAACGTCATTCTGGCTCTGACAGTTTAGCTGTTTCTGTCACACACTATAAATATCTACCACTCTCCTTGTGACATGTTTTTAAAAGAAAATGACATAAGGGGGATGGTTGGTTGGGAAAAGTTTCATCAATGATGCGCTATCACCAGTGTGGGACTGTCCAGTTCTTTATCAGGGCAGTAACATGGACAGTTTCCCCTCACAATCAGTGTATACATTGGTCTGAGTTTTTACGCCCCACCCCCTCCCCTCCCCTTCATCCTGTGCTCCACACTGAATTTGGTTATTTCAGGCACCCGCTCTTCTGTGCATCTTCTAAAGACATTTAAAAAGTCCGGCACCTCCATATAACAAAGCAGCTCTCTATACAACAGTAGAACTTCTATCAGCAACACACACGGGAAAGAACAATAAATAGGCACTGTATTATTGTCTTTTTATATATATTAAATTCATAACGTCTCATGGGAGCAGCACTAAAAGTACCCCCCTTGCATGTCAGCTGTAATGACACATTCCTGCTTTCTCCACGTTCCCTTTTCGGTCGTGTACATTCTGAAACTGAACTGAATGCATATTCTCCCTGATTCCAAGCAGATTCTCCTTGTTTTTTCTCCCGTAAACGGTCCTTGGCAACATGCCAAACGTCTTACGAACTAAATGTAACCTTTTTGTGGTTTAATTTTCTCGTGGTTTGAGTACATTCAGGTGTGAAACCATAGTGTTTGCTTGGGGTGACGTCACTTACCCTAAACAGATTCTCTGGGAGTGGCTTTAGCACCACCGTGTGTCCAAAGTTGGGAACAACACATACCACTGCTATTTTAATAATAGGAATTTATCTCACTCGGGTCGGAGTTTCCTCCAAATAGTTGTATACGTTTATTAGCTTTTGTCTGGATTATTTTGCTATGATCGGGTTCTCAATAAATGCTGCCGAGCAGTTACACGGTTTTAGTTTCCCCTTGTTGCGTCCGAAATCCATTTATGCTTCTCATCCCTTTAAGATGCATTCATTATAAATGCCTGTCATGACGATTAGTAAATTGTAGACACTCTCAGGATAACGCAAAGCTGGTGTATCATGATTTGGCTTTTGTTTGTATTTATTTGTTTTTTTTTTTTTTGGGGTGGCGCTTTTTAGTGAACATTTTCCGGCCCAATTTTCAGTCTCTCGTCGCATCGGCCCTTATTGACACGTTCCCCTGCAGATGCGAAGCAAAGTAAACGCTCCTTTCCGCTCACGAAGGCGGTGACGTCACAGCACGTCTTGTTCCGGAATCATGGCGACGTGTGTTTAGTGCAAATCGGTGTTGCTCGTAGTTGGACGACGTGACGCGAATGCTCGTCCGGCCGCGTGTGTTTGAGATGGCGGCGACGCTGCTACTTCGGCCGCTGCTTCGGCAGGCGAGCGCGAGCAAAATGTACCGGAAGTACAGCAAGGTGCGCAATGTTTTCTTTCCCCGCTGTTAGCATGAGAGGCTAACGTTAGCATGCAGGAGGTCGGGCTGTGATGTCATTCAGTGTGGCAAGCAGCAGTTTTGTCACTCAGGACTAATTTATCCTAAGTGGCTTTCACAGTAATGTGTTTTTGGATAATTTCAAAACTGAACATTAGAATCACACGATAGTTTAAATTTAAGCTGCGTCTTAGCTCGATTTAGCAGCTCGCAGATACCTGGGACAAAAAGTACTTTTGTTTCTAGAAAGACAGCATTTTTCCACTCAAAGCATCGTGGCGCTGATATTTAGCAAAGTTGCTTTTTGTATTTTTGGAGTGGCTACAAAACATGTTCACAAGTGGCATCAATGTATTGAGTTTTTTGGAACAGTACCCTTCAGTTATGTGCACTTAGTTTGAACTCTAGTGCAAGAATGCCGAGTTCTTTTTTTCCCCTTTCCCCCCTTCAATTATAGGCGTGTGCGATGTGATGTTGTGGGCCATCAATATTGCTGGACTTTAAATAAGTCGTTAAAAGCCCAGGACTATTTACAATTCATTTAAGAGATTGCTGGATCACAAAACTCCAGTTTAATATGCACACTTGTTTTCCACACATTACACTTTGGCGAAGCTTTTCCCTCCACGTCTATTAGTTACACTGAGTTCATTTATGGTCAAGTATAATTTAAGATTTTTGCTACCTAATAATGCTGCTAATGCAAGAAAATGTGTCATGTAGTTTGGGGGTCTTGTCTGCATTACTCAAACTCTGTTTTCATGAGGAGATTTATAGCATAATTTAACAGAAAAATTGAAATTATGTTGTATGATAATTGTGACTGAACTACCCTATCGGCCATTAAGTCCAGGAATGTTTACATCCAACAGGTTGCTAGACCAAAGCATTCCAGTTTTATAGGCATACACAGTCTTACTAGGTGAAGTCCATGCAAAAAAAATTCACAGCACTACTGTTATACTGCAAGCTATTGCATTTTGTCATCTTTTATTATGTGGAATATAATGTAGTTCTCAAGTAATTAGGATGTAAGAGTTAGGACAGTTAGGAAGTACAATTTCAACAGTTTAATTGCTCGAAGCATTTCTTAATGTCAATACCCTCTTGTCAACATTTGTCTTCAGGCGTGTCCGGCGTTGCCAGAGCGAGTGCAAGTCTTCGAGTCTCTCAGGGAGCGAAAGGGCAAGAGGAGAGTTGAGGCTTCTGAAAAGCACATCAGTGTCCATGTGGGTGATGGCACGATTGTGAAGGGAACCGCCGGGGTCACAACGCCACTCTCTGTCGCACAGAGTATTCGGTAAATGATCAAGCTGCATGTTTTTTTTTGTTTGTTTTTTTTTTAAATTTTGAACCACTTTGTTGATCTCATTTCCCCTTGCAGTGAGAGAGGAGCCTTGGTGAGCAAGGTGAACGAGGAGCTGTGGGATCTTGGGCGTCCCCTAGAGGCTAACTGTCAACTACAGCTTTTTGGCTATGACTCACTGGAGGGAAGACAGGTACAAACATTTGCATATTTTAGTTCTGTGCTTGCTACTTCCTTTTTCTTTACAAGCTGCAATATTATGATTCATCGTATAATCAAGCACCTTGTTAAATATACATAAATACAGCGTTTGTGCAAGCTTCAGCAGTACATGATTTATTCCTATTTTCTACTGTTATCTCTACTGCCTGATTTGTGGTGAATGTGTTGTTAAAAATAGCGAACACCGGCAATAATTCAACTCATTAAAGTTAACTGCATATTTGGTGCCTTTTTGGTCCTCATGTCAACATCCTTTTTTTTTTTACTAGCGATACTGAAAAATGGGATGGCTGTAAATTTGAAATGTTCCAGTCTACTGCACCTTTATGTCGTTCAGGCAGCATGGCGAACAGGAGCATGCGTGCTGGGTGGAGTATTGCAGAGGGAATTTGGTGCCACAGTGTATCGCCAAGGAGCGACGGAGCTCGGCCTTCACTGTGATCATTTGTTGGATGACAGGTCAGACGCTGGCCTCTAAAATGAATCAAATGGAAAGCTTACAGATGGAATAATTAATGATTTTGTATCTGGTTGGTTTATTGTGAGTACACCAGTATTGCTATCTCTTAGCGGGTGTGCACACTTGTGCAACTTTATCCCAGTTGTCAATTTCACAGCCCTCTCAAAAGGTGTCCATTTTTTATTGTTGTACTGTTTATAGGTCACAATGGTGTAAAACGTTTCGGAATGATTTATCAGGTTTTTTTTTTTTTTTTTTTAAATAAATCCTAAAAACCTTTTCATTTGTACAGGGGGTGTGTAGACTTTTTATACTCAAATTCCCCATGACAAATGTGATCGTATGGTTTCAAATTTAGTTTTTGAGCAACTTTCATGCGTCATTTCAACGCACTCTCCGACTTTATTCGTCGTCGACAAGAGTTCACGTCAATTTAAAAATTGACGTGAACTTGTTGCCTGAATCGTTTGGTGTCAATTCATGTCAAGTCAGAAGTGACAAGCTAAGTTAGTTTGGCCCAAGTTAGCAAAACAAATCCCCCGCCAAGACGACCCATATCCCTCCTTGAGAGAAAGCCAGCGTTACATCACATGTGTAGGGGCCCTGACCCACCTTGGCCTCACGTCTTGAAATAGGAGCCCCTCTTTGACATTCCTCCTCCCTCCGTGAAATGTCTGTTTGTCTTTTGATGTTCCACCTGCGGCTTCCCTTGCCAACAGTGCTGCCTTGTCTCTGAGTGACGTGGAGGAGCGATGCAAGGCGGCTGCTGCCCTCAAGCTGCCTCTGACCAGGCTGGAACTCGATGCAGAAGAGCTGAGTGAACTCTTGCAGGTTCGTAACACTCGCGCGCTCCAATTAGTCACCGATCCATCATCTTCCTTCAGACAAATGAGCACCTCTCTCAAATGAACAGTTTCTCAGCTCCGGCCGCATGTGTTTGAGATTGCGGGAGTAAGAAGGAGAAGCGGCAGTAAAACAGGCCAAAATCCATATCTCAGGGTATAAGGGAGGATAATTTCCACACGAGGTCTGGTTATAAATGCGAAAAATAAAAACAAGTCTTGAGTTGAGATTTAAACTTTGTAGCCACTCTAGCAGTTTTCTATAGCAGCTGTTCTCATTGTGGTCGCGGCTGAGCTGGCGCCTGTCCCAGCTGAGTTTGGGCGAGAGGCAGGGTACACCCTGGACTGGTTGCCAGTGAATCCCCGGGCACATTGAGAAAAACAACCGCTTACCTTCATTTCAGACACATGGACGATTTTGTCTTGAGTAATTGTAACGTCTTTTTAGAACGTGCAAGGAAGTCGGAGTTTAACTAGAAAACCACAAAAGCACATGGAAATAGGCAAACCCCACAGAGGAGGAGCACCAGCTGAAATTTGAACCCAGGACCTCTTGACTCTGAGACAGACTTGCCTACCGCTAAGTTGCCATGCAGTCCCGCTTCTCATTTTCGACAACTACCACTTGTTGACTTTTCTGCGTTTGTGTGTCCTATAACGGGCCTTTTTCTTTTGTGTATTTTTTTATTTTTTTTTTTTTAGGATGACATGCTCAGTTTGCGGCTTGCGCGGGAGCAACTGAACGGCCCAACTGCTACGGTATACAGGCACGTGTGTTCACACGCACAAACCAGCACCTAAAATGTACCATATATATAT